GACCCTGTGGTAACCCTCTTGTATCCTGTATATTATCTGTCAGAGTGTGTGTGTTTATTATCTGAACTCTGTGTGTATTACTGCTCGGGTTTGTGTCATTATATGTATGTGAACACACTGTTTTTCTGTTGGGACCAGTGTGTAGTCCAGGCTCAGCTGTGTGGGTGTGCTGGTTTAGCTCTAGGGTCAGATTCTGACTAATTTCTCAGTTTAGCAGCTGCTGAGGTTCAGCTGCTCTGTGATTAAATTCAGACTGAAGTCTCTCAGCTGCTGTGAAGCCCGGTGGTCCCCGAGCGAACAAGACCAATGAAAATGTGAGCTGGGAATGAAACGCTAAATTGTTTTTATGAGTCAGAATTAATCTGTGCGGTCACAGTATTATACTGTCAACAGATTCTGGTCCCAGTCCTTAAAGTCTATCCTGTTATTCTGTCCCGTCCCACCACAAGGATTTGAAAGCATGTTGTGGAGTACGGGCTAAAATGTGCTAAGAAGACTGGCAATCTTGGGAAAGAACGTCTGCACCCAGACTTGCCCACCTGGCTTTAACTGTTCTCAGTAGCTCCTGCAGATTCCCTCTGTGCAATATCAGGAGGATGTGGCCCTTCTCACTGGGCTCAGCTGCTTGTCTGTTGTTCCAGATCCCCCCTTGCAGGAGCCCTGTGTCTGCCATCAGACTTCTGCAGCTAGTCCAGGCTGCTGCCTGCCTGGTATTCAACCTCCCCAAATTTTCCCAAGAAGACAAAAAGACACTGGGCCTCATGCAAAAACATTTTCATATCCTTGTCTCAAGTTTCTTTAATGTCGGGTTCAGACTGCACAATATTTTGTCACATTACACGAGAATAGAGTCATGAATCTTGTCGTGACTTGGACAGGGTATGTGACAGACTGTCATTGCTCATGACTTGGGTGATGACAGGTGCCAGGGAATGGGAACAAGAATGTTAACAGTCATGGTTACCTGACCCAACCTCGGTCCAGTGTCAGATCTTGCCTTCTCAGAACGGAGTGGACCTGCAAAGTCCTCTATCATTATTTGACATCATACTGAGGCGTTCAATATGGCCACCAGAGGAATGTAAGTCACACCTCCAGCTCTCCTCATTCAGGGTTTTACTTTACTGGATAATTGACAGTTTAGAGATGAGAAGGAGAGTCTGCAGCTCAGCTTTCTCACTTATTCAAAAGCAGACGGACCAAAAAAGAGGTAGAAACTAAAAGGAAGAACGACGTGACCACACTGATTAAAGTTCCTACTTCTGTCTAACCTCATTCTCTCCATCCATCTCTCCTCAGTCCCTCCTTCCTTTTTCTCCTCTCTGTGCTACTCGTCAACAAGTGGATAAACTTTTCTTTCATGGTGTGAAGTGAGTGTGTGTGGGACTACTTTTATACCAAACAACAAAGGGGCAGGCCTCACTGTTTCCTGTCTGTGGGACAAGGTGGTCCCACCACTGTGTGTGTTTGTTCCCAGTCAGAGTCAACCTAGCTCTCCATCGGGACCCGTGCTTGTTGTCATGACTACGCTATCCCCTCTTCCTCCTCCTCACTCCTTTCTTCATCGGTTTTCCCACAGAACAAAACCAGCACTGTGCTTCTGGTTTTCTCTCTCTCTCTATGTGTGTGTGTGTGTGTGTGTGTGTGTGTGTGCGAGAGAGAGAGAGAGAGAGACATTCAGGTCAGATTAGTTTGTGTTCATTGAGCTCAGAAACGCACTCACAAATACACACTCTTCATGCACTGCTGATGAGGGCTAGGTTACACACACGCACGTTTACACAAGCAGTGTTTCGTGTCAGTGGAATTCACACGGTGAGTGAGACCTTCAACACAAGTGTGAAACTTTCTCACACACTTACAGACCGTTCAGTCTCGATCTTAAAACGAGGACCTTGCGCTGCGTGCACCACACGCAGCTCCCGGGGCCGTTCTTAGGCCGTGGATCACTACGTTTTAGAGGCTCAAACTGCTGTTTTTTAGCAATCTCGGTAGCTGAATGTGTGCTGATATTTCTTTCTTTAGGCGCGCCCCCGCTCCGCTCACCGCGGACGTCCGCACAGGCGCGCGCAAAAGCCGTTTTTCCACAATAATGTGAACGCACCAATAGAAGTCATACATTCAGAAAGTGATCAGCCTCTGTGAACACTGTATCATACTGTAGTTTAACTGCGGAAGTTGCCATTTTCCTCCACCTGATTCTCTGTTAGGGGCCGTGACTGCTGCTTTGTGGCTCTGAGTGTTTCACTGCGCTTCCTCAGCCTGAATCGGAGACACCTCATACATACAAAAAGTCCTAAAGATAAAAACTTAGCATCTCGTTTATGAGAACATTAGAAACGGTTCTGTGCAGTCAGTGTAGCTGAGGGCCTTTTACAAGCATGGCATGCATGTATCAGAGGAGACCGCATCAATAAATGGATGTGCTAGTGTCAGAGAGAGATGTGGGACTCGAACCTGTGACCTTCCTGTTGTTATGTAAGCGCAGCTGGTCCCTGTCCAGTCTGTCCCAGTAGAGGTCTGGTGTGCTGTGTGTGTGTGGCTTCATTAGTGAACAGAGGCGGTCTGTTCGGTGGTTTGGATCAGAGCGGCGCGCTCTCGGCACTGCTAATGAGAACAACACCTCCAGCCTCCTGAAACACCCTGTCCCTCCAGCTCGGCCTCTCTCCGCTTCTTCTCCTTGAGCTCTTTCTTTCTCTCACCACGATTCACCAACTGATTTAAGAGCTGAAATCACATTTTCAGAGGTTCAGTCTCAGAAGTCTCTGTTTGCACCTTGTCGTCGTCCATCCCACTTTCCCTCTCTGACTCGTGTCCGGTGTATGAACCAATAGTGTTTACAGGAGGTTAATACTGTGCCCCACTTCACCTGCAGATGAATATGAAAACTCATGCATCTAAATAGATATTTTAGCTTCCTGGGCAAACCGGGGCCGAACGTTTGCTGTCGATACCGTTTGTCTCCGAGGTCTGTGCAGCCCCGTGGTGCCACACGGTAACGCTGCGTTGTCTCTGACAGGACTGTGCGTGGTGGCAGTGCGCACAAGAGCTGATATGCAAACAGATGCTGAAGGTGTTTTCGTGTCCACTGATGGTGAACTGTGGGAGGTGAAATTACGCTCGTGCACATGCACCCAGTACTGAGATTTATAAAACAGAATCAGGCGTATGCACGAGTTGCATCTGTCTTCGTCTGCTTGTTTTAGCCATGACTCAACAGAGTTTTCTGCATCTGAAGGTCTGAAGCTAAAGTGCCAAAATGTCTGCATATAAATGTTGCACAGTAACAATGTGCACATGTCAGACCTCTTCATACGTTCCCGTTTCTTAGAGGCTTTGCAGTCAGGGCTGCTGGGCAGCCTCAGGTCGGTGCAGTCCGTCTCTTTGCTTCTTAAAACACACTTTCAGTCTGTCCTTCCTGTCATCTCTTACTTTAGTCGTTATGAAGTGGAGTTTTTATTCCCCTTTAAACCATCTCGTCCTTTTACCCTGTTGTGTGAGACTTTATTATTTGGCCTGTCCTGGCTGTAATTTCCTGATTCGTCTTTATTGTCTGTAAATGTTTTACGAAGGTGCTCAATAAATAGTTTCAGTTTTTTTTCTTATCACATGCTACAGGTGGTCGTGTATGGGTGGAGGTGCTGATGCTGTCGCTGGTCATAAACTGACTCCTGTCCTTTGATCCACTTCCGGTGGCTCTTCTGACTAGTTTTGGTTCAGAATATTTTTCCCAGCAGCCTCTCTTTCTTTAAATAGTTTATCTTCTGCCATCCTCTGCCCGTGCTTTGTCTGTCTGTCCGGCACAACGCACACACCCCTCACTTCCCTGTAAACTTGTAGATCCCCTTCATGAGTTTCTGGGGGAAACCAGGCAGAGATGGCGAGGGAGGAGGCTCGCACTGATTAGAGACCAGTTTCTACATTAACCGAGCTGTGTGTGTGTGTGTGTGTGTGTGTGTGTGTGTGTGTGTGTGTGTGTGTGTGTGTGTGTGTGTGTGTGTGTGTGTGTGTGTGTGTGTGTGTGTGTGTGTGTGTGTGTGTGTGTGTGTGTGTGTGTGTGTGTGTGTGTGTGTGTGTGTGTGTGTGTGTGTGTGTGTGTGTGTGTGTGTGTGTTCTTTGTCACATGTGAATTTGGGCTGGTATCCCGTGGAGACGGGACAGTAGTGAAGTCATTGATATGCGGAGCAGCATCTCTGCAGAGGAAAATCCTCCTCACTGTTGAACTCATGTCACAGAGGAGGACGGATTCTTTCACATCATTTAAAACTACACAGAAAAGGTTTTAAATGGTTTTTCAGGGTATTTCCTGAACATGAGACCAATTATTCCTGTTGTGGGTTTTACCTGACAAAGGGTTAATCTAGTGTTTTTGTCTTGATGTGGCTGCTGGAGCCAATATCCATTAAATTCATGGTGGACAAATTCATGATCTTGTTTCCTTCTTTCTGATTTAAATCTGAAATTGGCCCGTGTTAGATTGTATTTAACTTAGATGTTGTTATACAAGTGGTGGTGAGCCAGGACCTGCTGTTTGAGTGTGCATACTTAGAGATTCTGCTTAAAGGCGAACTTCACTGATTTTCAATGAGGGTTTTAATAATTATAGCGTCGGTAGGATACACAGATCACGTGTATCCTACCTCCCTCCTCCGTGCTGCACAAACATGGCTGTTTGAGAGTCAAAGTTAACGGTTTCCATAAAGTTTTTATGTCCAAGTACACTGCCTGTACTTCTGAATCAAGGAACCAGTTATTTTCCAACACAGTTTTGCAGAAGAGCTCTGATGTCAGTCGCCTCACACTGTTTATGGGATACATGAATGGGGCTTTTATTTGTGGAACCTTGGGCACCGAAATAGCTCCTGCCAATTGCAGCCAGCTGCAACACAAGTCATCCTGGGTTTGAATAACAGAGGCCCGCACAACAATCTGTGAGGAACTCCACACACAGCTTGACCAGTAGGATCATGAATGCCACAATAGAATGTCCAGACAACTGCCACTTAAAACACACACATTTATTTATAAATTACCGACTCTACATCCAACTGATTGGTTTATGCCTTGGTTACAAGTTAACAACGACCCAGAGAGACACAACACTTAACAGACTTTAACAGGAAACTATGAGACAGACATTAAAGTTAATTTGTTTTGCACGGACTGTCCCTTTATTATAAAAGCTGGCACCTGATGTCCACTTTGTTCACATTTACAGTAATGAGCGGGGCGTCAGCTGTTAGTACATCTCATTTCTTTTGTCCAGTTACTGTTAAGAAAACAGTTGTCTCAGACCAAACAGCATGTGACGGGCCTGACTGCAGACGGGGCCACAAACAGGGCCGCAGCTGTATTCACAGTCTCTCATGGCGCTGTACGTCAAACGTAAACCAGTAGACTGAGACTTCTCCATGACAGTTGACATGTACATACATATAGAATATGTGGGCTGGGTTTAGTAGCTGGAGGACAGCGATGGAGGTCTACAGCCCAGAGTGATAAGCTGGACCAGGGTCTGGACTCACACACATCACGGTGAGGACACCACATTCACTGCTGGTCTCTGGACAGGGGTTGTGCACAGCAACATGTAATCCTAACTGACTTTCTGTTTGTGCACGGCGGCTCCATGGCCTCACTTCACACTTTGACCTCATTTTTCTTAACCAAGAAATAGTTTGACAGGCTTCTGTTACATCTCAGGTGGTTTGGTGCTGTGGTTATATGCTAGATCTCCTCCATTTTGAGTTAGCAAAGGGAACCACGGCAGCCCTGTTTGGTGAGCAGATGGGCAGTCATTCCTCTTGAGTTTACCCCATGTTTACACTGAGTTTAATTTCTACTAAACGTTCAGGCAGAACAAGCAGTAAAGACGTATTACAAGCCTTTATTTAGTCTGGTAGTTAAAACTGGTTCAGCCTAATCTGGTTTTAGTGTTTCCACCCTGACAAAAACCCACTGAGCTGCAGTGTTTACACTGCCCGACTAAATAAAGGCTTTAGTATGTTTTTACTTTTGCTCTGAACGTGGTGAAGATAAGAACATGTTTCTTAATCTGGAGGAGCACCTGAAGGCTTCCAGCATTTATCCAGTGTGACACAGTGAACACTCTTCTTTTGTCCTCAGATCAGAGCTAATATTCAATTTTTCCCATGTTTGATTAGTAGCTCTGATAAAAAGTTACCTCTCTGTCAGTTCAGCTTGACGACCCGGTGACTCGCAGTTTGAATGAGAGGCTCGGTGTGAGAGCAGTTAATCTGACTGGGGGTTGAGGAGGCACTAAGGCACAGTTGGCTCTGATTCCTGTTCTAACACCATGAATTTAATGCTGTGACACTTGATACTAAAAAGGCAAAGACATTGTGACATAGAAAGTGACTATCTCACTTCATATAAAGATCCACTTAATCAAACATCTAGCATTAAAGGAAGCTACATTCATATCTTCTGCCTCCTCATTTGTTCTACTTACTTTACAGTCAGAGTGAAAACGCTACAGCCATTAATACACAGCTTCCTACACAATTTAATTTCCTGTACAAAAAGACCAAAAGTGAGAGGATTCAAGTCCTGTTACTCTGTAGATCTCCTCCCTTCCCCACGTCTGGATCTGTAGCTGCATTAAGCACCACATCCTCCTCAGAAACACAAAACATACAAAAGACTTTTAAACCAATTCAACAAAGCCATGATTTATCCTCTCATTCATGTTTCAGCTGCACTGCGATCAAATTCTCCCGCTTGTGGTTTCTTGAAGCAAAAGCTGCTTTGGAGGCAGAAATGATATGATTTAATCATAAGGAGGAGCAGCAGAGCCTATTTTTAGTTACTAGCTAAAACATTAGTATTGCCATGTGTAGCAGTTTTGCTAATAAACAAAAGAAATTCAGTTTAGCCTTACAAACCTTAGCCAACCTTTCACACTCAGTCTAAAGCCCCACTCGTCCCCTAGAGGCTGCAGCATTTGTCACAGCCGCAGTATGAAACTTTTCACAAGAATAAACTGAATCAACGTGCTGGGTCGCACTGGGTCATTAAACTCTAAAAGTTTAGAGACCAGGAAAGAAATTGGCAAATTTTGTTATTAATGATCTTTTTAAATGACTGGTGCAGGCACTGTTTGATCAGTACGTACTGGTTTCTGGCTGCAGACTGACTCAGCTCTTTCACTTCACAAAATTTAATCAGAGGGAACTCTTAAATGCAGGATTGCGATGGCCTCGGGTGTCCAGCCATTGTGAGGAAATATTGTTATTTGCATGTTTATGTATTAGAACTGCACAGTGAAATATTCCAGCCAGTAGAGGAGCGAGGAGCGAACAAAGCTGTTTCATTTACAACTATGTGGCCTTTGTAGTACTGCTAGCTCCAGTCAGTGTACGCCTGTTGTTCTTGGTGCACACTGCAACTAAAGTCAACCTTTGGAGATGAAATCCAGTCTGACTGAGCCCTTAAGATGGTGCTACGACAGAGTTCATAACCAAAGTGGAAGGACTGCTTCTGGGGATAATGATCCATTTCTAATTTCCTGGAAATGCAGTTGATTTTTAGTATCGCTTGTCCTGGACCAAAGTGCCTGGGAGACAAAGGATGCAGAAGGACAGTGCATTCACAAAAGAAAAAAACTGGAACACTTATCTCATAATAACAAGATAAGATATGATAAACTACCGGCGCAGGACCTGGAACAGAATCACCAGGTTTTTAAGTTTACTTCATTGTTAAAGTAATTCAGTGATAGGTGTCAGTACATCCAACAGTACAGAGCAAAGATGACCTGTTAATAGATAATTCAGCATACTTAATGACGTCATTTCCTGAACTATACCACTGTGGGTCTAAAACAAGTCAGATGTTTAACTATACAACAGCTGTACACTCTTCTCAGCCAGTGGACTTGAATAGTTACGTTACTTGTCCTCACTGAGGCTTAGCTCAGCCAGTGGGACTTTTTTCTGCCTCGATGCAACAGTTTCTCCAAGAAATGTTCATTTAGCACTGGGTAATCAGCGGATGAAAGCCAATTTATATAATCATACTCAGCACAACATGATATAGCTTTGGCAACAATGTGGAGTTAACATTCATGCCAATAAAGCTTGTTGAATCTGATAAGAAAATATAGCGTTAACATTTTTACCAAATTGTCCAAATGAATGATTTCAAACAAATTTTATAAAATCTTAAGAAGAGTTGTTTGACATATTTAAAGAGTTTTGTCTAAACCCAGTCCAATGCATCGTTTTGATTATTTGATTACAAACTTGCACCCAACTCTACATCGATTCACTTCTGTTCGAGCACAGTCAGATGACAACAGTAACCCTGTGGTAGGTTTTCCAACAGGTGCATATCAACTGCTGCCCTAACTTAAAATTTGGCATCCATCTTAAGTGTAACAAAAAAAAATCTACATTGGTCTTTTTTCCACAGTACAGTAGTTCACGAACATTATGGTAAGAAGCTGGAGGGAAGAGTCCATCGGGAGAGTCCAGAAACAGGCTCCTGCTTCTGCAGCAGCTGGCTGTGCGAGTACAGCAACGTTTCTAACCTCACTACAGATTAAACCTCACTTCCTGCACCGAGAGGAAGCTGGAGGGTAACAATGTGTCCACAGAAGAATACCATACAAATGGTAGTAGGGGAAGAGGGGGAGAGGACAGAAGGAATTATGTGGAAAGACAAGTGCCCTCCCTGGTGTGATGTAGAAAAGAATAAGCAGAAGGAGAGGAGGGAAAAGGAGGAGGAAATGGGTTCAAAGCAAGCAGTGGTAGGAGCAGAGGCAAACAACTTCATGTAGGATGGAAGAGATGGTTTGATTTATCAAGGAGGAAATAATGGATGATAATGGAAAGAGGCTCTAGCTGGAGATAGACAAGATGGCCGACGTGTCTTTAGCCTTGTCGAAGAAGATGGATGTCTCATTGGCAGGCTTCAGTTTGATCTGGTCGGAGCCTGGGGAGCCTTGAGACGTGACTGACTGACATTCCTGGCAGCAGCAGCAGCAGCAGTCCATAAAGGCCTGGCTGAGAGTCTGAAGCACAAAAACATGCTGGTCAGTGCTGTCTGTTTAGCAGGGGGAAACAGCTAGCCTAGCTCGGTCCAAAGATCTAAAATACGCCTACCAACACCTCTGAAACTGACAGATTAACATGTTGTATCTTGTTTTTTTTACAGTAGTGTGTCATTAAAGTACGTAGAAGTGATATTTGACTGAGTGATTCCTGATAAATTTGCCAAGCAGAAGCATGTATACATAGGACAAGAGGTCCTAGGATAGAACTCTGTGGGACTCCAGGTCTGTACCTTTTGAACAAAAAGAACCAGTTGAAACACTAATAGTCTGATCAAGAGCCATATCATGAAACACATTGAATGCAGCTGTAAGATCTTGTATAACAAGAACAGAAACTTGTTTTCACTTGTAATTGATCCTAAAATCATTTGTTATTTTGGTCAGAGCTGTTTTGGTAGTGATGATGGATACGACATTTCTTGGTGTTCATTAAGAGGTTTGAGACACTTAGAGTTTGGATCCAGTAAAAAATATTCCGTGATATGTTTCTAAGCTTTGATCCCATTAACCTTCCTCTCTATCTTGTGCAGTTTGTCTTCCATTAACCCCCTGACCTACCTTACACAGAAAGAGCAGTAGCACCGGTGTCACTGATGACTTTAGGAACAACAGGAAGTGATGTAACAGCGCCAGCGTGGAGGCCGTGTCCTCTGAGACAGTGATATGCGTGTATGCCAGTGTGATGTTGCAGACGTGTTCAGGCAGCGCGCAGACGCCGTACACAATGGCTAACGCTAACAGTGTGCAATTCATCTGCCGCTCCACCGCCTGGTGCTGCTGACGCTTCTGATTGGAGGAGCAGTCGTCATGGTTACGCTGCTTTTGAGCAGAGCTGGAGTCGCTGTTGACGTTGCGGGTGGCCATCTGGCAGAGGATGGTGAAGAGGATGGGGAGGCAGAAGTAGCAGCCGAAACACCACCACATACGACCCTGAAACAAAGATGGGGAGTAAGAACTGTTGGAGTAATCTGACACAGTAATATTTTATCTGTAATACTTTTACTGCTTTCTTTGTGGTTTGATCTTCATTGTAGTACTTGTTCTTGTGGTGCCCTGAGCAGTACAGCACAGTACCAGGAGCACATGAACACAGAAAGTAGCACAAGTCACCAACTACACAAGAGTACTACGAAGTGCCAGTATCCTATTGCATCAGTATACTACTTTGTGCTCTGGAAAAAGAGGTGCACAGCAGAAAAGTTACAGTATATAAAACAGGAAAAGATTTTTAGATGGTTTTCAAAGACATGCAGAACCTGAAGCTGTGCAAGCTGAGGCAAAGAAGTGAATAAAGAAAGGTTTGAACATAGAAGTGCAGTACTTTACATTTATTTTGAAGACACCTTTACAGTTAGCGGAGGGAACAGCTAAAGAGCAGCACACACAGTGGACCCTGTTGTAAATATGTCCACACAGTGGCTGCATCTTGACATCTGCAATGATGCAAGTCAGCGGTTTAAGATACATCAGTGTCCTCTTCCCCAGCATCAACACACACATACTACCTACATCAACTCAGCGGTTTTTCAGAATTTCCTCTCCCGGATCGACACAGCCCAGTTTCTCTGTTTTGACCACTTCTTCTGTCAGACAGCACACAATACCAGGCATATGGAACCAAAAAGGCCAAAAACGCATGCATTGTTTGTGCGTTGTCAATGTGTTGTTAATGTTTTGTTTGCATGTTGTCTACACATTATTAACACATTCAAACTTGAGAAACATAAACATACAGTATACATTAATGGGTAAACAACATGCTGACAACATGATAACACATTGACAACACATCAAAAGTTGATCACAGGTTGTGGAGAATTCGGGTTAAACCACCTCTGTAAATTGAAGGGATGCCCCAACATGACTTAACAAGAACTGGTTCTGTCATCTTTAAGATGATTATTTTGCTGTTTAACAAAAAAACCTAAAATATATTTTAAGGTGAGACATAATGAATGCAACAATGGCTTCTAGAACTCCTTTTCTGAGTTCATTCACATCTTCCTGATGCCCAGTTCAGCCTGTATCCTCTCACCTGGTGATACCTGAGCAGCAGTGAATGGAGGGAGTCGGGCAGGTAGAGGGACAGAGAAGAGGAGGGGGTGATGGTGCAGGAGTCGACCAGCCAGCCAGTGGACGAGGACACAGCCTTGCTGGGCTGCCACAGGAAGATTTCAGGGCTGGACAGCAGCAGAGCGGCGAGCCACACCAACAACAGCTTCAGCAGCACCGTGCAGCAGCGCTCCACCTGTCGAGCCTTCGGCTGGGAGGAAGAGGTAGCAGCGTGGAAACGATCGCTGCCCAGAACACACAGGGTGAAGGAGGTGATGCCCAGAGACACGACCTGCAGAGATGAGGAGGATAGAACAACTTCTGTGAGTTTCTTCTCCCCCCATTGTATCAGAATGTTTCTCAAAACATCAGACTTTTGCTGCAATTCAAAAATTTGACATACAACGCTGTCCCACCCAACAGCACCATCAACATCATTCCTCTTTCTTTTCTCCCCGGGGCTGTGAGGTTCAGATATCATTGACCTGATCACGACTGATTTGGAATATGGTCAACAGAAAAGTATATTAACGTGCTGATACTCTGCCATGGAAATTCTTTTGTTCTTGTGAAGTGTCAGGTCTCAAATCTTTTTACTTCATACGGCGTGGAGGGAAGGAGTCGACAAAAAGGTTGGTGTTCTCTGACAAGAGCTTCCAAACTCTGCCTTTATACCACGCATGAAAATGGGGATACCCTCTAGTAACTCGGAATACAGAAGGAAAACACTTACATTCCAGGTGTTGATCATTCATCCTTCACGTTTGTTGCCTCAAGCACTTCCTTTAGGCAATAAACATCCTCATTATGACCATCTTAGTGCTCTTCTAGGCAACATAGTAGTAACCCCCATATGTGCTGTTCATCTTAAACATTCTTCTGGACAAGAGAAACCTAAAGCAAGTTTCCACTCTGTCTTCTTCCACTGACAGAGCCAGGACAGTACTTGCATGCATTTATTAACACTCCAAATCATGCAAAAACAGTTATGTATGCAGATGACACAACATTTTATTTATCAGTCTTGTCAGTTGAGGAACTGTCTAGTGCTCTGTACAAGGAATTATAGTTGGTTGTGAAGCGACCATGGAATAATAAGTTAGTTCTTAATTTGAGAAAAACCTAAAGTATTATGTTTGGATCAAATGCTGAACTCAAATTTGAGCCACAGGTAACTCTGTTTGTAAAGAGTGTGCCTGTTGGACAGGTAGAGGAAACCAGACATCTTAGAGTGATACTGGGCAGTGCATTGAAGTGGTGGAAACAGCAAATGTTGTTACAGTCATGGGTAGAGGTCTGGCAGTTATTAAGAGATGTACAACATTTTTACCAAAATACTGCATTTCTCACTTTGCTCCAGCAGTGGGCCTTACTCAGTTGGATTATTGTCCAGTAGTGTGGTCAAGTGCATCAAGTAAAGATTTGAAAGAATTACAAGTCGTCCAAAATAGAGCCAAACAACTCACTCTGAACTGTCGCAGGGCTAACATAATAAGAATGCACAGAACCTTAGATGAGCCACTAGTAAAGGGTGGCAGGTTGTCTCTTTGCTTTGTTTTATAACAGTTACTAATACGGTCCCTAATTTCTTGTAGTATCAACTTTTATATAGTAGCAATAGCCACAATTTTAACACCAGGAATGTAATGCAAAGCAATAAACTGCTATGTTTACAGGAACGAAAAGGTGGAATGGTTTGCCATCAATTATTACACATTTAACAAGTAAAATTTGTTTTAAAAGATTTCATGGCACAATATAAAGTTAGTTGTTGATTTTGTGACTTTCAGTGAATTCTGAGTACAGTGTAGTCTGGGATTGGGTCTGTTATTTTATTGTATGTGCAATCTTTTGTAGTATACTTATTTCAAACAGCTCTCAGTAAAGAGCAGCTTCAGTTTGGGGTCGGTTTGACTCTTCTCAAATTACTCTAACTGATTGATGCCAAGTGAAAACAGATCATGTCAGTTTAAGTTCTTTTGATCAATAAGCCACTTTCAGCTTTTCCCATTTAGGGGTCACCACAGCAAATCGTCACACTGACGACTTGCATGACATTTTACACCGGATGCCCTTCCTGACACAAACCCGGGCCACAGCAGTGAAAGCGTTGTGCCTTAACTACTAGCCTACCAGGAACGGCTACCAGAAATATAAACATCACTGAACAAACAAAAGAATTTTGTATGAGGGAAAGACTAGAAATGTTGGTTGAACCATCAAACACTCCGGCCCAAAGCACAATTATTTTTGACAGGTTGTCATTAAATATGGCATGGATATAACTCAGTAGACGTACTGTGGACATCGTCTCCACCCAGTGCTCACCTATGATCTGTACCTGGATAATTATGATGACAGACCTGATGATAATAAAAAATTCTCATTATTTTCTGGTCTTCTGAAGTAATGCTGCTGTATTTGCTGTCTATTTTTTTTCTTCACAAAGCAAGAGCTCAACTTTGGCTTTTATTTTGAGGGGTAGCTTGACATAGCAGGAAGACGGTGGTTTTTGGCCACAAACTAGAGAAGGAACTGTTAAACTTTCCATTGGAAAGTCAATCAGATGATCATGAAACGTCTACAAAAAGCCACTAAATGAGAGCAAGGCAACAACAAGGAGATACAAAGCCACCAAAAATAGACACAAGGTGACTAAAAGTCGACAGAAAATGACACCAGAAACTACAGAAATATGCAAAACAACTCAAATTCCGAAGACCAAAACAAAAAAAATAGGTGTAAAATGACTACAAAGACATGCAAAGCAAGTAAAATGGACATAAAAGGACTAAAACCAGACACAAAACTACTAAGAAGCACAATCCACCCACAAGGAGAGACAAACTGACTACAAATCAGGTGGTTGCTCAGTGGGTTCCTGATTCAGATGCATATGTATGTGAGCAGCCATCTACGCTTTTGTGACACATTTGGCAACCAAATTTTGTGCAGCAGTGACCAGAGATGGACCTACAGTATCAGACCTCCAATCAAAGCTGTCAATCATATGGAATACACCTCTTTTTTATGTGAACAAATAACTTATTAAAAACAAACTTATAAGAAAAGGGACCACTTGTACAGACATCAGTGTGATAATATCTACCTAGAGTGTCAGAAATGACCTTTGGGAAAACTATATTTGATTTGAATTTTTAGTTTGGCTCCTGTCCCATCTGCTAACATGGAGGGGGCGGGGTTTATAACCTATATTGCAACCAGCCACCAGGGGGCAATCAACTGGCAGTGGTTTCACTTCTGGGAGCGGCCATCTTGTGATCTTTATATACAGCTTATGGGCAAAACCAAAAAGAATAGTATTATGCAATCATGCCTCAACATAAGCCACACCCACCTCCATATAAGGCACCGTGCGGCAGGTGATGTCCCCTAGGATCCTCCTATGGGAGAGCTGGTTGAGGACCACCACAGGAAGGCAGAGCACCAGGACCAAGAAGTCCCAGAATGCTATGCTGGCCAGTAGATAGTTCCAGGTGGACCGCATGTAGTAGTTGTTCCAGACAATGCACATCACCGCCATGTTTGCCACCACGCCTACTGCCAGCACCAGACCAGCCAGGAACAGGATGGTGTAGGCTGCGTACGAGCTCTCTGCCAGTGGGTAGAATGGGTTAAAGAGACCAGGGGCATCATGGTTGGACTTGGAGGTGTTTCTATGGAGATGGATATCATCATTACCACCATCCCCCATTGTTAGTTTGGTCACGTTGCCAAACTCTGTGGCCTGGGGCACCGTCACTGAGTCGTACTCGAAGTACTGGCTGAAGGTTGACTGTTGTTCTTCCTCGTCGGTGCTGCGGGCCAGCCGACGGTGCTGGTCTCCCTCTAGATCAAGCATTTCGGGGAAGGTGAGGCTCTGGTCTGGGGCGTAGGGTTTGTCCTGAATTTTGAGCTGCTTGAGTGTCCAGGTGGGCTCCAATTTAACATGGGAGGGGAGTTTATGGGTGCGGTCGTGTTGCCCATCATGTTGCTTGATGCTCTTTGCATTTGTAATCAGCAGCGGCAAGTACAGACACAACCACAAACCGACATACAGGGCCATGGTACTGAACGTAAGTGTGAAAGATTCACTTAAACCAAATAGATTCAAACCAGATTTGTTCAAGATTGGTTGTTTCTGACCTTTAAAGGACTTGACAACAGAACAACAGTGTAGAATTCGTGCACAACTCTAATAAAAATCCAGTAGTGTCTCCAAGAAGTTCCGGTACTCAGGACAAAATGATCAGTTTAAAGTTGGCCAAGCAACTGTTCAGTAGGAGGCCGCTGTAACTCCGAGTTGCTGGGAAGTGACAAAAAGACGATAATCTGTTTGGTAAAACTGAGAATTCCAAGAAATTTAGGTAGAATTACCTCAAAGTTGGCAGATTTTTGTTACCAGAAATCGACCAAACATCTGAAACTTTACAAATAATGATAAAACACTATTTGTTATGACGTCCACTAGATTTTTAATAGGTTTGTAGTCCAGGCAGGATGAACATCCTCTCTTGTCTTCTCAGGCTCGTCTCTTCAAACTCCCAGTACTCCAAGTTTGCCCCTTTAAAGGTGGACTCTGTTTTTCCCATTCGTTATTAACCTCAACAGGTGTTGGAGCTCGAGGAGCAGGGCGAGGGTCTGCGTCTGTGTTGGTGCCGCTGTGTCTGGGCTTCAGGCAGCAGAGAGACTGGGCGCCCTGGAGCTCTGAGGGTCTCTGGGAACAAGCAGCCCTCTGCAGTATGGCTGGATGGAGCCTTTGTCAGCACACACACACTCTGACAGGCCTACAAACAAGGCTGGCACAAATACAATCACACACTTTTGTCTGCACAATCAGACACGGATACTTTCTTTTTCTCTTCTTGGCTCTCATACACACACTGAAAATCACACTCATTTAAAAACACTCCCAGTTCTGCTGCCCCCTGGTGGTGGTTGTACTTGGAACTGAAGCCAGCTGAGTTCACTGACAGAAACACATCTGACCCGCATACTGATGAAGCTGCTTTTCTCTCTGGTTGTGTACGTCTTCCTACGTCTGTGTGGAGAGAGAACAGTTCTACATCCAAAGTCATGACTTAGGGGTCAGACTTGGTTTTAGGGTCCAGGTTAGAATCAGGTTCAGGTCTGGGGATAGGGGCTGCATTAGGTCAGTGAGTGTCCTCACAAAGATCACTGTACAAACGTGTGTGTACTGTTGTACTTACGGGAACCAAATTCAGTGTGAGAACAGCTTTGACCAGTGAGGATGGATTTTGGCAGCGTTTTTACAGCTGCTACAGGAACTGATCTCAGGAAACAAGACCATGTTTGTAATAAATCAGAATTATTCTTTGAAATGTTCCTGTGAGACTCAAAACAAAATTTTGATTTGATTTATTCTTTCAAACATGTAATGACATGTAATGAATATGTCAACACACATAATTTCACACAAATCCACAAATCCAATATCAATGTGCTTATACCTAGTACATGCTTGAATGGAGTAGGAAGAAGTCAGACTTATCCAGTCCTACCCCATGACATCATCTTAC